GGAGCTCAAAATGCTCTTGAATATTTGATGGCGAGCCTGTGAAGTCAGAAAATCTTTTAAAGGTTTTAATGACTCTAATTAATTAACACTATCCAGACATCTATAATCTTTGCATTCTGAATCACTAGTTACTTATTCACAGTTATGATAATATATTATTAGATCCACGTCTAATAATAAAGCTGAGAGTTATAACAGTGAACACAGTGCTCACTGTGTACTAGGCACTGGAGTTAAGTGTTTTATACATTCGCTTGTCAAGTCTACGGCCATGCTACCCTGAACAAGCCTGATCCTGTCTGATCTCGGAAGCTAAGCAGGGTTGGGCCTGGTTAGTACTTGGATGGGAGACCACCTAGGAAGACCAGGTGCTTTAGGTGTAAAAAATAAAAAATAAGGGATTGTAATCTGTGAGGTCAACCAAGGGTTGCCTCGCCTAAAAAATAAAATAAAATAAATACATATACATTCACTCATCAGTCCTCACAGCAACTCTATGAAGTAGATATTTATGTCATCCCCACTTTACAAATGGGGACTCTAAGAAGATGGCATTTCCAAGGTTATACAACTCTACATGGCCAAAGGAAGCCACAAAGGGGATCTCTTGATTATCACACAAATCCCATTTTGACAAAAAATAAAATTTCTAATAACAAAAAATGCAAGCCTGTGCAAATGGCAAATATATGTAACATGGTAACTTGACTCATTAAGAGTCTAGTACTATATAAGACAAAGATCTCTGGAAGCTTTCGGTGTTGGCTACAGCAGGATATGGGGGGACGAGGGGTTCTGCCTCTCCCCACGCTTTCTTCTTATTCTGAGGAAGGACAGTGGGTCGTGTACAACGTCAAATGCTGGGCAAGTTGACATGCTCACGCTTCATTTCTTACTCTCTTGGTGAAATGGAATAAGGCCCTTGCCTGAGAAAATATGAGTAAATTGTGATGTCTCAGAAAACAGGCTCATTTATTTGTGTGAGATTAATTGTGTGCATCTATTGAATGATTCTCAGTTGCTGGTGCTTATGAGATGTTATTGTCACATACACAGCAAGAATTTCTTTTTAACCTTATATCTCATTGCTGGATGAGCCAGTATATTCATTACATTTCTCCCAAAGCAAAGGAAAGAACCAGTGCCCACAAAGAATGAATGTTTGCTTATAGTGTTTTAAAATACAGGGTTTAAAGCAGAGGAGAAGATCATGAACTTTCTGTGTCAATCAAAAATCCCCAGGCCAACACTGAACCACAGGGGTCTGGCCTGGGCACGCCACCCCCACTCTGACGGGAGGATGGGCCACTTCAGCGATGCCAGCGGAATGCCCCAGCACAAGAGATACCTCGCTTCATCCCTTCTTCTTTCATCTGCTTAGAAGGGGTTGGACCAAACTCCTCCTCCATGGGCCTGAACATCCGTTTAACGAGGACACTGCTGCTGGAAGAGATGAGCAGAAAGTATTAAGTGAAGTAGTCAGGGTGCCAAAACTAAAGTTCATGTATGCATCAGTCCTATCTTTCCCTTTGTTTATAGCAACCCTCGTTGGTATACTGGGTCCACTCACCCACCTCGTTCTTCCCCCTTGCAGGTCCCAAATCATGCTTGTCTGAGGCAGAACACACACACCAGTATGTTCAGGGCATGGACCTAAGACAGACTCTCCATTGCTGAATATAGATCCATAAAGGTGAGAACTCTGGGTTTTATTCCCTCTGTCCTGCACTAACCCCTCTTCCTGCTCAGAAGATCAGGTCTGGGGAGTACCAGGAGTGAGCCCTTGTGTCTGCGTGGTCTCCAAGTTATATCAGCCCCCTCCCATCTAGCTAGGGCCCGGGGGTCCTGCACTCTCATGCCAGACCCCCTGAGGGCACAGTGGGGACATGTGGAAATGTTGCAGCTCTGCCTCATGGGTTCCCAGTTAAGAGGCTGCCCTGACTTCCTGCTATTCTGTGGCTCCATCTGGTTGGAACAAATGAGATTGCACTGGTGGAAGTTCCCTAGGGACCCAGACACCGGGTGCCCAGCATTTCCTCTTCCTTGAGAGAGGGTTTCAGACCCCCTTCCTGGGAGTCCATGGAACAGAGGCCCTGCATGTCCCCAACTGGGCCAGTTCTGATGGTTCTGCATTTCCTCCCAAAGTCCCTGACATCTCTAGGCACTCTAAGGAAGGAGGGGACTGTTTGAGAGGAATGGAAATTGGAAAAATAGACTGTGTTTGAAAAGAAATCATTAATGCTCAGTGTTACGGACTCTGTGAGCCAGCCAGGGTGAAGACAAATCTTACCCGTATTACAGTGATGATCAAACTAAGGCTCAGAGTGTTAAGTGTCTTATGCTGAGCGATGCAGCTAATAAGCGAAACAGACTGTTCAGAGAACTCGACTTTGAGGGACAGCCTCATGATAAAGGTACTTACTAAATCTGAGGTGATGATGAGTGAGGGTCTAAAAAATGATCTTAACAGTCAGCATTCTCTTATTTTATTCTGTAGTAAGTCAAACTATGGAAATAACTAGAAGGAAAGCTCAAACCGAAGTCCCAGGTGGAGGTGATAATAAGTTTTTAGGGCACTGTTCCCTCTGTCTTCCCCTCACTACCTTGTCATAAAAGGAGGTCACGTTTTTCTGTCATGCCTTGGAACTGGAGTCACCAGGACCTTAAGAGCAGAAGATTAAAAATCCATGCACACAGCTGTCAGTGACCAGAAGGTTAACAATGGGTAAACAGCCTGAAATATCACCGGACCCTCACTCATGCTGTGTGAGGGTTCCTAAATCAGTGATTTTATTTTTCTCACCAAGCAAGATTTATTTATATTTTTACAGTTCTTCTGACTTTTGATAGCATCCCATTTTGAGCCATGGCAAACTCTGCCATTAAAATAACATCTTGGATAAACCACATTTTTCTTGAGAGTTCAGAAGTGCTTTTTCACACCTTCAAATCTATAAACCCAGTAGGGAGTCAGTAAGTTTGTGTGGTCTGAATTCAACTGTGACATTTACTTTCAAAACAAGGCAAGAAAAGAAGGGCAGAAAAGACTTCCCCATTTGAAGATAAAAAGAGCATGAGTTTTAGGTCTCCTGATGCCCTGTCCAATCACATTTGATTAAACCATGAAAGGACTTGAGGACAAAAAGAAGTGGTTTCTCTGTTATCAGTCTCCATCCCACTGGCACAATTTGTGATAATATGTGGAGTGACTCCAGGTCCAGGAAAACATGAAGCTGTCACCTTGAGGGGTCAATCTCAGGGAAACAGGTGCCTAAAGTATAAACAAAGGGCTAAACTGGAAGGTGTTCAGGTCTGAAGCCTGGGTCTCTGGCTATGTCTGGAAAAGGCAGTGTTGTGCCCTACCTGCCAGGCTGAACTGCACTAGGCATTGGTGCCTAGTGAGAAGGTGCCAAAATAAAGTGCAGAGAGAAGTTGCAGGCATCACAGAGACATAGTTTATCCCTCACAACTCTGCATATGGCTTATGTAGGCTGATTGCCATTTATACCCTAAATAAATTGACATTCTTCCCCCGTGTTTGCTTCAGAAAAGAGGAGGGCCTCTTTATATTTAAGTCCTCAAGAAGTCTCTCATTTAATCTCAATTTATTTCTAACAACAAATTACTCTTTGGGGAAGAAGCCATCATCCCCAAATGACTTTAATCAATGCTAGTTTGATGAATTGATAGAATTCATCAGTGAAAAAACAACAAAAAACCAATCAACAAACAAAACTCACACATAGATTTAGTAATGATTACTATAGTTAAGAGCTCAAACTTACAAGTAATAAATGACTAGGTCAGTAGGCCCCAGAAGGATTATTTTAAGAGGAAATACAGATATTTTTATTTCTGGCTAAGATGTTGTAGCTTGTGGTAAATCAATATTCCCAACAAGAACAATTTAAAAAAAAAAAAAATCTTAATGATGATATTGAGGACTGCTTAAGATCAGCCAGAACTCAAGGAGCTGAGATGAGAACCGAGGGAGGATGAGCTGATAATCAATGCACAACTTTTCCTCTCAAAGTATTTGCCACTTCTTGACTGGAAGTTGAGGACAGTAATTCCACAGAAGCACATAGCCAAGGGCAAAGAACTTTAGACAGCTTTGGGCAATTTCATGGTGTTAGAGAAACAGAAAATGGTGTTTAGGACTGCAAAGGTATCCAGGGCTTAAGGTCAAACTACCATAAAGTACTGAAGCACAGAAAAATGAGCCAGACACTGCAATATTCCTTCTGAAGTATTTGCCAACTTCTTAAGCTGCACAGACCAAAGAAAGAGAAGTTAAGCAGAAAGCCCTTGAAAATCATAGAGGAGGTTTTGAAGTCTCCCAATGCCAAGATTGCAGGCCCCAGAAAAGAAGAAAGCCCATAGAAAATCTCTCAGAACTATAATCTAGGAATTCAGATGAACTAGAAGTAGTCTGAGACTAACACAAACTGCAACCCAGCTTTGGGTCACTTCTGCCCCCAACTCAATTATGGTGATCTGCGCTCACTCAGGCTGCACACCAGAAGACAGAAAAAACCTTCGCAAGATAAAAATTATATTATAATTATATAATTATATTATAATTATATTATCATTGTTCATCATTCAATCAATGTTTATCAAATATACTAATAAACAGGACCAAAGGAAAAATACACCGACTCACAGATAACACACTTATAGGACAGTTATTTGTGTTATCAGATTTGAACTTAAAAATAATTGTGATTATTGTGTTCATAAAAATAATAACAAGACATATAAGAACTGGAATCTATAAATTAAATAAGTAAACTAAGTGAAAATCCTAGAACTAAAAAAGTGCAATAATTTAAATTACAAAATCAATAGACAAGTTTAACAGAAGATTGGACCCAGCAGAAGAGAAAACTTGAAAGTTAGATCAATAGAAAATATCCAAGCTGAAACATGGTGAGTAAAGGGGATGGAAATTTCAGAAAAGAACATAAAAATCATAGAAGCACACTAAAAAGTTTGAATTCACTAAAAAGTTTGAATACACATATAAAATCTCAAAGCAGTAGAGAAAGAGAGATAAAGCACTACTTAAAGAGATAACAGCCAAGAATGTTCCAAAACTGATGAAATACATTAACCCACAGATTCATTAAGTGCCATAAAAAGCCATATTAGAAAAAAATACAAATAACACCCACATGTAGAAACATAAAGTAAAAATTCTGAAAACCTAGGAGAAAGAAGAAAATTTTGAAGCAGCCTCCCCAGAAAATAGGAAGGAAGGAAAGAAGAAGGAAGGAAGGGAGGGAGGGAGGGAGGGAGGGAGGAAGGAAGGAAGGAAGGAAGGAAGGAAGGACAGACAGGGAGGGAGGGAGGGAGGAAAGGTGCATTTGAAGTGGCAACAATAAGACAGACAGCCAACTTCTCAACAGAAATGATGAAAAGCACAATTGAAAGACAATAACGGTCAACCTAGAATTTGATATCTAGCAAAAATATCCTGTGAAAGTGACTACAAAATAAAAATGTTAACAAACAAATAAACAAACAAAAAAAAACTATGAGAAAGTTCTTTGCCAAAGTTCCAAAAAACAATAGAAACACTAAGGTTCTTCAGGCAGGAAGAAAAATATTTACAAGGAGAAACAGAAATAAATGAATGAATGAAGAGCAACAGAATGGGTAAATATAGGTTAAATTTATAAAAGGAAGTAAAGCTCAGTTTTAAAAGTCTTAAGTTTATATCTTCCAATTTACAAAATGGCAAACTAGTATGCAAGCAAGAATAACTGGTGTTAATGTAAGAAACTGATGACAATCTGACTATGAGAGATGGTAAAGAATGATTTCCATTTCCATAAATATTTTTAAAACCTTCCTTGCATATCTGGTACAGATTTTCGTATTATTGAGTGGGTTTTTAAATGCAATATTGAACAGTAAAACATAAAAATACATCAATTGAAAAGGGGACGAGAGCTTCTTACAACAGCATATTACCTCAAAATAAAGTTTAATTAAAAACGAAATTTCAAAATGGAGGCAACATTGTGGTAGTCACTTATGTAACTATTTCTAATGCTACGAGAATTAATATTTGTGGCTTGGGATGAAATTTCTGAGGACAGTCTCATATATGTGGATTTAAAAAGCGCTATATCTCAACTTTGATGGCAATGAAGAATTGTCCTGCTAAACAGTGTGAAATGAGAAAAAGTAACTTTAACGATGAGAAAGATACCGATGTCAAAGATGAATTGTGAAGAATTTGAATAAAAGTGTTTCATAAATGACAGATATTTCTAAATTATATACTATTCTTTGCATGTGTGTGTAATTAAATTAACAAAGCAAGTATCAGTAGATCATTGACGCTTTTGGCTATATTCATAAAGATTTGCCTACTCAAGTTGGCCCCAAAGCCTTAATCTGTTTTCATCTCCCCTTGGGAGATTGGGGAAATCGCCCTATATCTGTAATCACCTTACATTCATGTGTACGTGGTAAAACATAGCCCACTACAGCCTACACTTCATGGTTTGCCTAGCAACCCTGAGAACAGCAACAAAAAGTGCCGGTTCTCTGGGAAATTGCTCCTCTAAGAGAAACGGCACAGAATTCTAGAGTAATTTTGTTTTGTGCTATGAACACAGGGTGATGACTTTTTAGGTTTAATATCAGGTTGTTTAAATGCACTCACTGGTGACAGGTTAATAATCACTAACTTCCCCAAAGGGTACTGAATTTTAGTGGAAGTGTTGGCTTCCACGGGAGAGGAACATCTAGAACTGCCTCTTTTCTCAGCAGCACGATAACTAGGTTCATGGTTTGGACCGGCAGCATCTGCAGGACCATCCCTCCTGCAAGAGGAAAGGCAGGGACTTATGCCAGAGTCACTCAGAATCTAATAAGTGAAGTTGCTTTGGGGAGCTGACTCTGAGCTGGGATGGAACCAGTCTACGGAGCTGCCCTTCCCAACTTTGTCTTCTTCTGGCTTTTGTTTTCCTAAGTCTCAGCCTTTGAGGAAGTTATACAAGGTGGCTCCAAGAGAGATAGTGGTGCGCCTTTGAGAAGAAGCAAGGGGACAACAGAAGTTCTTGGAGAGGGATTGAGGTCCAAGGATCCCAAGCAGCATCCCACAGTGATGGCAGGATCTTGGAGGGAGACCACTGTCCTCCAGACACCGGGCTGCCCAAACTTGCCAAAGATCCCCATGCCCCAGATGCACTGCAGAAGCCACAGAGATTTAAATGGACTTCACAGCAGGCTGGAACAGGGGGCACCTCATTGGGGACCATTGTGGACAGAGGATCGATGTAGGAAGGGATTTCCAGGAACTAGAAGTCAGATGGAGATGGAGACCAGACCACCAGAAATAACAGAAATGGAATTTCTCACTGTGCATGATATTTGCATATTAATCTACATATTATTCCCCATCAGAGCCATTCTGTGGCTTCCTGGTTAAAGGGCCCGTGCTCTACAGAACCTTCTTTCTGTTTGGTTTGTTCTTTCCATTCTTCTTCATCTCCCTCTTTTCCATCTTTCAATTAAATATCATTTTTCAGGGCCTGACAAGGAATCTTAACAATAAAAATAGCTATGATTTTTTTAAAGGCACTTTCAGGTATCAGGACATTTTATATATTAATGTTTATAATAACTCTAGCAGGTGGGTATTATTATTTGCTATTTTTAGATGAGAAAACTGAGGGTCCATAAGGTTGTTCTATTAAGTCACAGAGCTTGTAAGATCAAGACCAGATTCAATTCATGGCTGACAGGCTCTAGAGCAGTGGTTCTCAAAACTGCTGAGCATTAAAATCATCTAGGGACTATTCGAAGTCCCCAAGCCTGAGCCGTACCCCACATCAATTGTATCAAAATTCCTGTTCATGAGTATCTTTTAGCTCCCCAGCTGACTCCCAAATGTAGCGAGAGGCTTGCTGCTGAGAACTGATGTCCAAAAGCCTCTGTATCTAACTGTTGTATCCACTGCCTACAAAATAAACCTGCGTAGGGTCTGCTGATCTCCAATTCAGCACTTGAAGTCACCCCAAATACTTTATCATTAGACAAGAAGGCAGGAACAAATAGGTGCTCCCTTTTTGTTCAGTTTAGGCAGTTCGTTGCTGATTGCTCTCCATTTTACCTCATGTTAATTTTCTCTAGTTTCTCTCATTCGTTGCATTCAGTTTTGTTGACACTTCAGGCTAAAAAGCTCTCCTACTTTGTGAACACGTCTTTGTCTGACCACCACTCTGGCTTCAGAGTTGCAGGGAGAAGGGCTCTGGTGTGCCTCTCCTGCAGCTGGCAGTTGCCTGAATGATGCTTTCAAAGACTCATTTAGATGCTTTCACACTAATGTGATTACGCCTAGCTGGCAGAGTAAAGAACTGGCCAGGGACAGTCTTGATGGAAGATGTGCAAATGCCAGTAAAAGTGGAACTCCTCAGGGCTGGTGAACTGACCCCCTCTGCCAGGTACACTCACCTGGGATTGTCAGAATCTGGGCCCTGCACTCCACAGATGTGCCAAGGGTGTCCCTTTGTCATGGCCAGAAAGCTATCACAATGATGGCCTGTTTCTTGATGCCTCCTTGGCAGCCACAGATCAAGAATTAAGAGGGTTGGGTGTTGGGTACCTATCATCTAGACCTGGGCTCAAATCCTGCTTCTCTCACTTACCAGCTGTGCGACTTAGAACTAGTTTCTTAATCTCTTGAAGTTTCGATTTCCTCATTATAAAGTGGAGGTAATAATACCAACTTCACCATAGGTATTTTGGGAGAATTCAATGAAATAATGCATATTAAGCACTTAGAACAGTGCCCAACCAAGAATTCAGTGAATGTTACTACTTTTACATATAACAATAGCCAAATACCTACTATACAATAACATGGAGGCTCCAAGGCCATCCATATTGCTTAACTGATCTCTAATCGGAAAATGTATCAGAGTAAGAAATGGGCTGTGGGCCTCAAGATGATGCCATAACAGAGGGTAATTCTTACAGAGAGGTCAAGCCAAAGGAGTTAGAAGTAGGTCAACGGGCCATGTAAAATTTTCCAACTTGCAAGGAAGGATGACCTAGGCCAAGGTAGACTAAATGAGGTCTATACATGAAGTAGCATTCAGGTCCTGGGCACTTCTCACTCAGGATGCTAAGTTTTCCCATGAGAATAATATAATGATAGTATGAGACAGGATCTTAGGGATAGTCTTCGATAAAATCCTCAATTTATAATTGAGAAAACTGAAACCCAGAGGTCAAGGAGCCAGCCCAAGGCCTCCCACTGGTCAGCCGCAGCCCAGGAGGGGAACGTGGGCTGCCTACACTCAGAGTCAACATTCTTCCCATGATGCCACCCTGTCCCTTGTAAAATATGTGAGTAACAGATAAGAATTGATAGCACTAATCATTTCTGTTTATTCCAGCCACTGGAAATATGTTACTCATGTGCCAAGATAAAAAGAACAATCTAATTCAGTATTCAGAAAATTTAGAACTCAGAATTTAGAGGTCAGATGCTGGAGGAGGTTCTACTGCTAATCAGCTGGGAAATTATTTGACTCCTTTGAGATTCTCCATGCTTGAGGACAGAAGGTGGCACACTTTTTCCGTGAAGGGCCAGATTAGCAAACATTTAGGCTTTCCAGGCAACAGAGTCTCTGCTGCCACTACTCAGCCCTGCTGCGATAGCACCAATGCAGCCATGGACAAGACAGAAAGGAATTCACATGGCCGAGCGCCAATGAAATTCTATTTATTCTATTAATTAAATTCTATTTGACTTCCATATAATTTCCACGTGTCCTGTGATATTCTTCTGGATCTCTTCAATCATTTGAAAACGTTTGTGGGCAGTACAAAAAGAGGTGGCAGACCCAATCCAGTCCTTGGGCTGTGGTTTGCCCACCTCTGCTCTAGGAAATGAGCTCAGCAACATCTGCTCCACTGACTCTGCCTTGAAATGTTTTAGAAGTAAATACATTAGTAAATACATTAATTACATAAGAATATGGAAGCCCTGGATTAACTCTAGATTTTAGTTACACACATGTAATGCAAACCGAGACTTCAGTTACATATATGAAATGTATGGAGACATTAAAAAATGAATGTAGTCATAGATTGTTTTAAGAGAAAAACAGCCTCCAGGTCATAAGAAGAAACTATCCCCATGTAATCTCCAATTCATGTGCTTAAGCACATATATTTCTGAGAGTTAATTTTAAAGAGATTATTAACAAATTTGGTGGTATCCCCTGGAGGGAGAATTAAGATGTTGAGGGGTAAAATTATGTTGGAATGGTGAAGAAAGGAACAGACTTGTCCAGAACCCCAGAACTAGAGCCGATGGGTAGAAGTCAAGAGAAAGTAGACATCAGTTCAACAGACAGACTAACTTTCTCGGGGCTGGAATTATTCAGCAGTGTAATGAGCTACTTCGCACACAGTGAGAATAGTCAGAATATTCCCATCAGTGGGCCTATTCAATGAAAAACTAGCCTCTCAAGGATGTGGTATAAGACGTTACATTATTTAAGAAAGAGGGTCAGCTAAATGACATTGAAGTTTCCTTTTTTTGGCTCTAAAATTCTAGGCGTCTATGAGTTATGGATAGAAAGCACTATGTAGATACTTGATGTGCAAGACACTGGGAACCTTGGGTGACCTTAAGTAAACCCTCTCTTATCTACAATCCTAAGGACAATGAAAAGGTTCTCAGCTTTCCCAGCCCCACTCAACCCAGCCTCACTAGCCCACCCAGCTCACTTCCCAGCACGAGGGCTTCAGGAGGTATGTGCAGGTAGCCCAGGTAATACTAAAAGCAAGGCAGGCTGTCTCCTTGGCTTTGCCTCAAGTTCAGCTTGATCTTATGTCAGGACCAGAAAAAATTTTCAATAACTGGTGATTGGTAAATAGGTATGCCACTTAGAAAACTAGCTAGTTATTCAAAGGCAGATCTGAGGAAGGAGAGAGCGGGAAAGAGGCTTGGAGGGAGAACAGCGTTCCCCCAGACTTCCTCTTAGATACCACCCAGAATCAAGCATTTCTCCACTCTGAGTCTGGCGCTGAGAGGAAGGTCCCACCCCCCTCCCACGGTTATCCATTGCTTGAAGAGTCACTTCTACTGACATGAACTGACTTTGGGTGGTTTAGTGAAAGAACTGAGTGTCTTACCCTTCTCGTTCATCATCCGTGTTGTAATACACCTGTGGAACAAAACAATAGGCTTACTGTAGGTCAAAGACAAGAAATGGAAATACATTACGTGATGCGCAGACTTTCCTAAGGCATTGCACTGTCTCATAAAAAAAGACAAATCTGTTTAAGGATGCGCCGTGTGTGTGTGTGTGTGTGTGTGTGTGTGTGTGTGTGTGTAAGAAAACACAAATTTAACCCCCTCACATTCTCTCTAGGGTTAATTCTTATATTTTAGTAAAATAAAATTGAAAATCGGATTGTTTCCAGCACAAGTCAGTCTGATCAGATTACCTATAGCCCTAAGCCAAATCTTGCTTTTGACGATAAGGAAATACTTTAACAGGATCTAAAAATAAAAACCATTGTTTAGAAGCACTCTAGAGCTGAGCCTATGAGTAAGCAGTCCCATCCAGTCCACAGGTGAGCTGACTCCCGACGCTGTGCTTAGGCGACAAGAGGGGAGCAAGAGGGATCCCACATGAGTGCAGCAGTAACCCTAGGACACAGGGGTCACCCTGACATCCCTCAACCACAGAAATTAAGGAGCCGATGGTCTTCAAGCTGGGAAAGGTCACTCAGCTCTTGAAGGTGCTCCTAGCCAGAGGAAGATCTTCGAGAAAACACTCTCGGTGATCAGCATGGTGGCAAACAGAATCAGAATTAAAGAAATTATGAAGCATTCTTATTATTTTATGAGGCAATAAGAGAAATCCAGGGGTGTTCTGCTGTATACGTAGATCTTCTTGACCCAATGATTTATAAGAATTAATTGTGGGCCTTCCATGAGCTTCGTCTGTGTGTTTCAGGACCATTTTCATTTGAGTAAAGAACAGTCCCCAAGTTAGTACTGGACACTTACGAATTAATTTCAAAGTTGCCTCTGGTTCTAGTACATTTTGTCACTGTCCTTGCCCCATTTGCCTGGGAGAGAAACAGCTGTGTCTAGATGGATTCTCTCCCTGCAAACATTCTCAAAGGCTCTTGGTGGTTCCTGGGACCCTGCCAAGCCTAGGCTTAGGTTATGTAACCGAGCTGGTTACCTGGAACTCACTGGGAATGAGTCACTCTGGTCATTAGCTCAGATTTCCTAGGGGAACTTTTCCTTCTTAAATCTCTTATGTCTATTGTCGTATTGTATATTTTGTTTCTTCTTAAACAGAAAACAATGAAGGTAAGATGCTTCCTCCCAGCCATCCCTAGTTTCAGTCCTGGCATTGGAGCATCTGTCATTGTGATGGACGAAATGGGACTGTCCATCTAGATGCATACAAAATGACCCTTGTCATAAGTGAGGAGCCTGGGCCATAGCACTGACCACAGCACTAGAATTTTTTGGAAAAAGTTCCTGATGTCAGTCTGTGTTTTGCTGGATTCTCTAAATGTGTCGTAATGCATCTGCCCTGCTCAGCTATAAGGCAGGGTAAGGGACAGCTCTCCGCAAAGTTGGTTGGTGACCCAAAGATGGAAGCAGCCTTCTCTTAAGTGTCTTCCGGCCTCCTGAATGGCTTCTATGACACTGTCCCTATTACCGTCCTTGCATTGCCATTTCTCCTCCGTTCGTGTAACGATGCACTATTTCTTCCTTATCAGTTGTAGGGCTCGTTGCACTAATTTAATTTTAGAGAGCGTTCCTCAAACTTTAGAGTGCACAGACAGTATCTGGAGACCTTGTCATAAATGCAAACTCTTGGAACGACCTTCAGAGAATTTAATTGAAGAGACCAGGACTGGAACTTGGGTACCTGAATTCCTACCAAGAACTCCTGTGATTTGGAGGAAGATGGCTTACAAACCACAACTGGCTAGTCTGTTCTGTAGGCTGTGAGGGAGGGGTGCTGCCCTCCTTGGGTTCACAAGCTCTGAGGAAGGCTGATACCTGCAGAGCACACACTATCCAGAAGGATGATGGCTCTGTGCCCCATAATTTCTCCCGAACTCCCTTATCACTTGTTTTTAAAGGCATTCCAGACAAAAGCTGAGGGAAGTATCGGGGCTCTAACGTGAGGAGAGGGAGACTGAAGGTCTCAGTACTTCTTGTGCACTGGGTTCATCTTGCATATTAGTTTTCAATAATTGTCTGATGAATATTCCAATCTACATGTGAATCAGTGAGATCAGAGGGTTGGGGGGTACATGTGGACTGACAGTGAAGATCCTTACCCCACCTGTCCATGTCCCTGGGTGACTAGAAATCCCTGTACCATGGCCAATGTGCCATTAGTGTGGCTTGAGGATATCTTGCTGCCTGTGAACTAGAGGGCTGCCTGCCCTGCAGCTGGGCAGAGCTGTGATGTAACTGCTTCTAATAAGGCTTACGTCTGCCAATGGCTACTGAGCCGCATACTCTTGCCTGCCTCCCGCCCCTACTCCACACCTCATGGTAAAACTGGCCCATCTTTTGACTTGCCATTGCTGGCTCTTATTTAGCATGCCAAATCCTGCCCCATGCCCGCTTCTAATCGTATGGCACCACCGTCTTCCCTCCTGCCTCTGGACCCATCTCCTAGGCTTCTAGCTCTTCTAAGAAAAGGCAGCCTTTAAAGTTCCAACCAGCCACGGGTGGGTGCTCTTCCTTGGCCAAGCAAGTTGATCAACCACAGAATATTCGCACATTGTTCCAGGGCACAGCTGAGCGTTCCTTTGTTGCTCGGAGCTCAGGCAGGTTCCCTCACTGATTCCTTAATTCTGATTCCAAGTGCACAAGAAAAACCCGAAGGCCTTGCAAGGATAGATCCCAGATCGCAGGACTTAACTTCACCAGTGGTCTGGGGGGACGCTGATTGGGCTGCTTTGCAGCTGCTGAAACCAACAAACTATCGAAGCTGCTCTTTCCTTCTGATTCAGCCACGGGCTAGGAGCCCAGCTCAGGACACAGAGCGGGCAAGTGAGACCAAAGGACTGACAGGCGTGAGAAGCCAGGTCGGGTCACTTTTTCTCTCAAGATTTACTTACAGCTTGTTATAATTCACAGAAATGTTGCCAGAAGAATAGGCCCGGCTATCACGGAGCTGAAGCCAGAATCATGACAGCAAATACTAAGAACAATTTAACTCAACTGTCCCTCCTCTGGAAGGCGTGGAAACCTAGCTCCACAAAATCCCACGCAGTAAATACACAGATCACCATGTTCTTGGGAATTAAAAACTAAAATGTGGTGCTGGCCCTCACATCTTGATAAATCGTAACAGTCTTCCTTTCCCTTTTTTGCCCTTGTTCCTATCAAACAAATAAGACAAAACGGAAGTGGTAAATTAGTTTCTAGTAGGAAGCGCTCTCAGAGAAAGCTGTGGGTGTTTTGTTCCATGTTGTGTCATGAACAGCAATGAAAAGCCTGGTTGTATAAGTGCTTTGTCTCATACGTATCAAAACAACAGTGGGGGACAAAATATTCTCAAAAAGGAAAGTGACGCCAATTTTGACTTCTCCTCCCAGACTAAGGCCAATTCCAATGAGTGTCTAAGCAGTTAGACTGGAAGAAACACTGGAGTGTGCCAGTATGTCCCTGTTTCTCAAAACAGACCTTTCCTCAAAGGACTCTGAGTTTTAAAAAAAACTAACCAGTGCAAGATTCACTAAAACTCAACTGGTTTGGTGAAAGGCAATTCTGGCTAATGCTAGGGAAGTAATTATTTTTTCCTTTTTTCACACATCTTTATCACATAAAATAAATAATGTAATAATATTACAAAAAGAAAAAATCATTCATATCTCATAACCTTACTCATAAAGTGTTATAATTTTTCTTGTTCCCTTCGAATTGAGGTATATCTTCAGAATCACTGCAGAGAACAGCTTTTTCGCTAAACATTATCATAACTAGTTCCCATGTTGCTACATAGTTTCCATAATTATAACTTTATTGGCTGCATAATATTCCATCAATTTGCGCTATCACAATGAGTTAATTATTAGATGCTTAGGTTATTTGAATATTGGCTCTTTCATTTCACTTGTAGATATACCTAGAAGATGGAAATTGTTTTTTAAAAGCCTTGCCTACAACTTCATCTTTCTTTTAGTGTTAAATTATTTACCTGTTCAATGGGAACTGTTAATTTACTAAGGGAAACATTAATAGGTTTTTAACAGAATTTTTCTTGTGCAACTAAATGAAATTATAGGTGTAGTTCAATTTCCTACCATTAGGTGGAGCTCTATTGCATCAGGCTAATCCCCCATGACGAAACTAAAACAAAACAAAACTCGAAGGTTTTCGGCCTTCTTACTTTCTTCCCTTTTCGCTGCTTTGTCAGCACTTCACTAATATCTGCCCATTCACTTCTTCCCCTTAGTAAGCTGGTCTCCTTTCCTGAAACATTTTTTTCCATAAAAATCCATTTTCTATAGAGTATGACTGATTCTTTGTTGAATGCATGGAGTATGGTTTTTATTCTTAAGGACAATGCTGCCTGAAGTAATTCTATCTTAAGGCTCTACCAATCCCGTAGAAGAATGGCAAGTAGATGTTAGCAGGTAAGTCATACCTGTCCTGTTCTCTGCAGGTTTGCAAAGTGAACATCGGGTATGAAGAGGACGGGCTGTGAGTGGAGATCAGGCATCGTTTTGAAGTATGTGGTGTCACTCTTCTTCTGTAAAGGTATGGCTGCCAACTTTCCATCTGAGGCTGGATATGACCGAAAACCCAAAAATGAGAGGGTTGTGCATGACTAAGAACTCTCAACTTTACGTTCTAGTCAAAGCTAAACTCCATGACTTTCTCCGATGAAGCTTTTCAAATGTGAACACACTTGAAAAGACCCCCACCTCTCTCACTGCCAAACCAACAGAAAGAACTTGGACTCTGAGTGACCCTCCTAAGGCAGACCCCCTCACACCCTCCTGTCCCTCTCTGTGTCCTAGATTCTCTGTCCACAGATGGAAAGTGTTTGTCTCCGCGATATTACAAAGTCCCTCTTAGCTCAAACACTCTGCGATCATTGATTTTATTTGCTTTTCACAGGAACGATTCACTGTATCTTCACTGCTAGGAAAAAGCAAGCCATAGTTCTACCCGCAACCCATGCTTTCTACCTATTCCCCAGTGGACCCAGTAGAGCCCTCCCCCTCTCCAAGACACTCACAGTTGTTGCACTGGGTTTGGGAGGCCTGGCCTTTCCCCTTCTTCCTGTTCTGCTTCCTCTCTTCGTCTCGGATTTTTCTTTCTGCTCCCTGACAGGGAAAAACAAATACAATGCTAGGCATGTTATCAGAGCACGCACAAATACTGTCCACACACAAATCGCAGGGATAACAAACAAAACAAGAGGAGAATGGGCAGCCCTATTTCCATCCCTCGGAAGAGGCTGGCCTCAGTTCTGAAGACTCAGATCACTCATTAGTCTACACTACATTTTGAACCTCTGAGTGACCCTATTTCTCTCAGATTTCCCCCCATTTTTTGGTATCTCGCCTATTACACAACTTCAATTTTGAATCCATACAGAAAGACCAGAGTCAGTTCCCAGTTCCCTATCTGAGCGAAGCCAGGTAAGTAACTTTTAATGATTAGAATACAATATCCAAAGGTGAAGTATTGGCCTGTTAACATCATTCCCAGGCACAGAGAGGGCGTTAAAATTGAGTGTGAATTCCCTATAAAATTTTGCTTGTTGTTATGGAACTTTACAAAATCATGCCAGTGGTGTAATTGAGGGAGGGCATAAGAAAAATATACAGGATGTAAGATCATTTTGCATGTACACGTACGATTTCTATCTCTTTCCTTCTCAGCCTTTGAGAATTTCCTGGTCATCCTCCCCTCTCTTGGGTCGCTCTCCTACATCAGCTTTGCTAACTCAGCCTCCTCTTCTCACTCCCTCCAAATAAGCTGTTCCAACAGTTTCTTTTTCCTTTCTCTATCTCCATTCTTGTGCAGAAGAGTTCATCTGCATCCATGTTTTCATGATGCTCTAGAGAGGTGACAATCAGACACCCACAACCTGAACTCCTCCCCTAAATTTCAGATCCTCATTTTACAGCTCCTGCCCTTCGTGGTAGCCTGTTTAAGGAGCGCTGAGGCACGAACTGACCAGCAACCTCTAACTCTTTAGATACGGCCCCCAAATCATCACAAAGAGAAATTTAATAGTATTAAAATGTAATCCTTCTGTTATGCAAAAAGAAATCAAAAGGCAAAGGACAAATTAGTGAAAATACTTGTAATAAGATATTAAAGTGTTAAATCCTTAATATATAATGAATCAAAATTAAAAAAATAATAAACCAATAGAAAAATAGACAAGTCATGAACTATGAAATTCACAGAAAAAGACACGAATTGTTTGAATTAAAACAAGGAGATATATTTGTTGCTTATCATGTTGGCTGCTTCTTTTCTTTCTTATTTATTTATTTTTTTAAATCAGATTTCCAATTCTGGCCAAAGTAAGGTCATGAAACAATGGAGATTTGTGGGCAACGAATAAAGAAGATAGGTTTAGTGCTCCTTCTTGAAAAATGAGTAACTAAATAAGTATAGCTAATACTTAGGTGGCACTTATCTCTGCCAGCTGAGTTCTAAGAGCTTTACATAACTAAGATTTGGACGGTTATATTTTAACTGGATATTTTTAATACACATTTTTTATGTCAAAAGCTTCTTATTACCAAAGGAGTAATTATTTTACAGTGCTTTACTTTTTAAGTTTTGAGTTGTCAGTATAAACTTGTGGAAGTTCATAGCAAGAGGGAGGTAAAATATAGAAATATTTGCTTTCAAAGTCTCTTCAAGATATATTAAAGTTTTATAGAGTTTTGATGTTTAGACAACATATTTTTAGAATATAGGGTTAAATGCACAGATGTCACCTTATTCAAATGGGTGTGCAATAAAGCAAAAGGCTTCTATTATACATTTTTTTGTTGTGTCCATATATGGCATTTTCAATGTAATTGGAGCTCTATATGATGTAGCATTTAATATAAATAGAAATGTGGAAGTTTACCTATATAAATTACAACTCACCTAAGACACACTCCAAAATTTGTCAAGAAATTTTATTTCTAAATTACTGTTTTATATTGTACTATTTCTATGAGGAAAAGGTCTGGAATTAATATGTTTCAAGACTTACATATGTTCAATGTAGATTTTTAGGAAATAAAGTCACCTGCTAATTATTTTACAGGCATTCTTTGATATGTAAACCCAAGGGATTAACATAAAACAGAGTAGCTCTCCATAGAGCCTAGTCTTGGTGCATGGTCTATATAAATAATTTCCTGCCCAGAATGACAGATAATCAGCATGACAAAACAATTCTGATAGTGCCCAAACACTCTTGAGAGAATCACAGTTCTCATTTCTAAAATAAAGCTTTGACTCTTCAGTCACCCAGGCAAGCTCTGATACATAACCTTCCAAGAATCCCTTCCCTCCTTTGATTATTTGTGACCCGAACCTTCTAGAAAATATGAAAATATTCTTTCCACTCTTATTAAAGTACAAAAAGAAAACAAAAGAAAAAAACCAACCAATTAGATCTTCCAAAAGAACATAACTTGTATAATTTGGTAAAAATACCAAATTTCTCTTTTAAAAATAATTTCCTCCACCTAAATGTTCACTACGGAGCATTAAATTTTAAAAATATGCCTGAAGATTTCCCGATAATATTGTGATCACTTTTGCCACTTCTTGAGAGGTAATGGCTATCCTTGTTTTTTATTCGACACTTAACTTGTTTCTCCTAAATTTATTATTAAAACATGGCCTTAACTTATTTAAAATCAGCCAAGGTATTGAGAAGGGGGTTTGAAGATATATATTTAGCACTTTTTCAATCTTCCAAGATCATTCTAAATGAGAATTAATAAAGAGAAAAAATATATTTTAAAAAAAAAGAACGTGGCTTTATTTCTCAAGTTTTGCACTACAGTTACTGTTTACAATTCTTGTTTTTCATCAAAGATAATGGAATTTATTAAATATAAAGTTATAGACATAGGTATTAATTATAAGTAGATATATATAGACAGATCCTAAATTTTTTAATGCATAATCATATATATTTGAATAAGTATAATACCAAAAAAAGTTAGAGAAAGCCCTATTTTCATCTGCAATCCTGTAGGTATATTAATTAGAAATCAAGCTGGAAAACTATAAATAGTGCAAAATTCCACCTGTTTAAGATTCTAGACCGTGATGGAGAATTGTACAGTTTTAAAATAGAATAGCTCTTAATTCTTTTGCTTTAGAGGATAATTCAAATTAATCATTTGCATTTACACGACCATTTGAAAAGTGCAAAGAAATAAACCTTTTCTCTTTTTAATCTTCCAGGAGTGAGTTTGGCGTTGAGTTTTAAATTTAGAGCTGCGAATATAACAAATTATAGCAAAAAATTTTGTATATAGCTTATTAGAAAAATTAGTAGTGGTTAAGGTTAATATGCTCTGCATGCCCCATGAGATGTCTTCCTTATAAGTTTCCTAATCCTCAACATCAGGATATGTAAACTAAAAACTACCCAGTAGAAACTCTTTACATCACTAGCAACTTAGAATAAATGTCAATATTCACCTAACATCCTCGAATTATTTTCTTCTAGTTAGCACTGATATGTATTAGACCAATATTTAAAATGGGAGCTTTAGAAAAGGCTGCCTACTTTCAGATTGGCAATGTTTGTCAATACGATTATTTCTAGTTTTTATACATCTATATAAACAAGCACACATAAATAAGGTGTTTTCTTAGCCATTTTTTTCCTTGCTGCAGATTACCTTTCTATGACTTTTAGAAACAGATGCTTTGGATAAACCCATAGAACTCTCTTTTCTACCCTCTCCTTTTTAGAGATAAAATAACTGAATGAAAATTTATTTAAAAAATATTTTCAAATAAAAGGTATAATCGATCATTTTCTTTATTTACCCTCTTCGTTTCTTATGTCCTTATTTTATGGCTTAAGCGAACAACAATATAACACTCCTTATTCTTCATTTTTGCTCGTTTTTTTTTTGTATTTATTACATCAACACTGTAGAAAAAATAATTATATAAGCATCCTATAAGCCCTCTCTTTCCCACTTTCAACTCTAACTACCAAAATAAAGGTAAACGGATTGCCCAGTGCCTCCATCCATCCTTCCCTCCCTTTCTTCTTGCTCCTAATTTTACTCCTCACTTCCAAAAAGGAGATTCATGAAGGGGAATCTCACAATCTCCCTTGAAATATCTGGTATAAAGTAAGGGAATTCAAGTTATTTTTAAATACTTAAAAAATTCCATGAGGTACATTATTTGAAAATGTTTTCTTAATGTTTAATATGCTGAATTAAAGATATAAATAGATTTATTTTGTTTTGTTTTTAAAGTCTACCTTGGCTCTTTGTTGAGGTTTTTGGATTTTGGTATTTCATGTGTAAAGTTATTTATCAATTCAAGGGATATGAGTTCAGAATCAGACCTGTATTTATATCCAGCTCCTCTACTTTTTCGCCGTGTGACTTTGGACAAGTTACTGAAGCTGGATGACCCATTGTTTTTTCACCCACACAACTGTGTCAATTGACTTAACTGGCCTCTGCATCCTGGAGACTGGCTAACTGTCCCTGAGGGTGTTCTACTGCTCTGACAGGTAGATGATTGGCACTAAATGCAACTGTCACAATTTGAAAAGCTATTGAGATTTTATAGATATTTATCACTATGCTGTATGTCTGTCCCTAAACCCAGTGCAGTTCTGGTTAGGGTATTTCCTTCTCTCTTCTCATGACCATCTCTGCTCTCTGCTGACAGAAGCCCACTTCTCCTTATACTCTATCACTGCTAAACCAGAACTTTCAGACATTTTAATGGCATAGTAGACTTTTGATACAACTGACTGCAGCACCTTTAAGAGTGCTGGGCAATACTGAATTAGCTACTCACTTCTATTACCCCTTTCTCTGCTCTCGCCAGGATCTAGTCCAAAGTCATATCCTTTTATATTCAGTTAATACCTATATGCAGTTAGGCGGCTTATTCTATTTTTCATATTCTCTCCCCATCCTCCCTAATTTTTAAGTAATTATACTAAGTCTACATTGTCAGAACATATCGTACTGCCATTACTCTCTCTCTCATCATTTAGAACTAGATCTATAGGTAAATACATACTCAATGCTTACCATCAGTCCATTTATCCATGCCTTTATAATCATATTGTTTTTCTAAAGTTTGTTCTCTACTAGATTCCCCAAAAAAGGATTATTCTATGAATTTCTGCTCATTGGTTTTTTTGTAGGGCTGATTATTATTATTATTATTTTGATGGTTTTTATTTGTTTTTGGTTTTGCCTGTAATTTTCACACTTGAAAATCAGTTTAGCTGGATATAAATTCTTTGGCTCACATTTTCTTTACTTAATTACCTTAAATAGCATTGTTTCTGACAAGATGCTATTGTTGAAAGTCTGAGGATAAAGTTTCCTTATAAGTGACTTAATATTTATTTTATTTTACTTAGATGTTAAAAAAATATGTTCCTTTTTTCTTAACTATTTGGTGTTGGCTATCCTGGGTCAATTTTCCCTAGTGCACTGTGAGCCATTCAAATATGTGTACTTTCTATTTTAAGTTTCCCTGATTTATTCACTTTAGCATTTGCTACTCCATTGTTTAGGTTTTCTTCCTTAAAGATTCCTATTATATGTATATTGGATCTTCTTTACCTCTCTACTATCCCTATTATTTTCTCTCACATCTCTTTCTTCATTTCTTCTGATTTTAAAAATTTTGTTCTTTCCCAACTTGTATTCCTCTTAAGGCATTATCTGTTATGTTTATTCACTCTTGTGTTACTTCTAGTATAGTCTTTATAGATTATAGTATTTTAATCTTTTATTTCTAAATTCTTTCCTGAATCCTATCACATCTCTCTTCAAATCATTCTGTTCTCTAAACATCTTATGTCTTGAATTTTTCAAATTGTGATTTATGTTGATCTTCATAACTTCTATTATTTTCTTAATTTCATTTACCTCATTTCAGAACATTAGGCTACAATTTTCACCTGTTTTATGAGCATGTTTTTCTGGCAGAGAAATCGGTCTGACCTTAATATCTTTTTTATGAGACATTATATGTGGCTCAACTATTTTTCATTTCTGTTGGTCATTCCTAAATGAAACGAGTAGGCCAGGATAGTTCTTCTAGCTTCGTGGCTCTCATGCTCCTGTTTCTGGTATATTCACAAAATGGTTAAAAGAGAATAGTTTTGTATTTCTTGAAATCTGACTATTCTGTATCCTTTCCTCTCCTTATTTGTAACTTCTCTTTCCATTGCACCTATTTTTTTTGTCCAACTCCCAGCAGATTTCTCTCAGAGCAGGGTTTTTGTCTGAGAAGGGAACTTCAATTTATAACTTTCCCGAGTTCATATAGCCCAAAACACTTCAGTGTTCTGTCCCTTTGCACCAACCAGCAAATTAGAGACTACAGAATCCACACCCTCTCACTCCAATTTTACATACTGTCCTCAGATGGCCCACTTCACTCTTCAGTGAGTACTTTGGGCAATTCTATAGGTGTCCTGTTCTTTGATAATCGAGTGGCCCATTGCTTTCCCTAAAGATGCTGATAACACACAAGTATGAAATTGTTGATGCTTAGTCCCACTTATATTTGGGATGTGTAAGGATCCCTTGTAACATAATCACGGATTTTAGTCTTTGCTATTCTAATTGCTTTGTCTCTTATGGTGGGATTCAGGAAGATTCAAAAACTGTAACTCCTCTGGAGTACATGTTTACTAATAAACTTATTTTATAGGTGCCAATTCCATTCCAGAAAGCTCTAGATGAAACCCCATTTGACCTACAGAATAATAAAGGTTACACTGATGTGTCTGGGACAGAACATTCACTTAATTATCTAAGTGAATCAGATTCATAGCACAGTACAGTGTCAATCAGTCATTAAATTAGTGGTAAAAATGACTGACAAAAATATACAGTTGACTCCCTAGATATTTGATAGGAACTGAGAGTGAAAGATTACCACTCCCACTGTGATCGATAAGGTGATTATTTTGACATCGCCAGATGACAGAAGGTGACAAGAGGGAAATGTCGTTATAAGTAATATCTAATAACAAAGATACCTTTATGACAAACTGTCATCTTTACTCACTTTGTCACAGAAGACCTTGATCTGGCAATAAGCTCTATGAATGGGTTTATTGCTACGATTATTATAACTGTATGTATCAATCTGAATCATCAAAGGAAGTCCTTTCACTCCTTTTTGGGAGGAGAAATCTGTACTCAGGCAATTGACGGTGATGAAAATCTGAGGGAGAGAGAAAGAAAGGAAAAAGTTCATAAGTCACCATAAAAAAGATATATAAAAAATGCATAAGGCTTAGACTCGAAATCAAAACACTACACCAATATGTAAAGACAACTGAAGAATATTTGGATGCTCTGACATAAAAACATTGAGCACATAAAATATGATAAATTATGTAATTTCTAATTATAAATATATAAAAATTTTTACTTTCATATTTAATCTTGAAACAATAAAAATTACTTTCCTTAGAGTATACCAGCAGTCTTATTTTTTGAAACATGCATAAGTTAGCTTGGTAAAACACTGTCTTCTCTCAACATATTAAAGCTATCACTTCTCTAATCTCTGGCCTGTTAGATTAAAAACAAACAAACAAACAAACAAAACAAAACAAAACTAGATAACACCTTCCTTTGAGCATTATTACACTGAAACTTATTTCTTTACATATCTGCTTCTCCTACTTGACTATTAAGATTTAAGACCATTTCTTATCATTTCTGTATTTCTGTATTTCTTATTATTTCTGTATTTCTTATTATTTCTGTATTACCTAATGTAGTGCATGGTGGAGCACAGGCAGTCAATAAACATCTGATGAATGAATCGATGAGTTTATCTATAAAAAACCCACTAGATTGGGAGTCAAAGCTCCAAGTTTTAGTCCTAACTCTAACATTTCCTGGCTAAGAAACTTCAGGCAGGTCCTTAATTGTCATCGGTTTTCAATATTCCCTTCAGATGACTTTTTAAATCTTTTCCTGAAGGACAAAATGTAAATACTATTATACAAGAAGAGAAAAAGTAAAAGAGGAGCTGGCAAAGGGAAGACATGAAACAGGAAGACAGAAATGTAGTAAAGGCACCGGCATCCTCAGCTTACGACATGGAGCCTCAAGAGGTACAACAGAAATTACATGCATCCAAAAAGAAAAGGAAACTCAAGAAAATTAGTAAAGATTATAGTACTGAGCAACAGAAAAACTAAAAACAATAATTTTATTATAAAATATTGGGAGAAATAGAGAGAGGAGTATAAATGACTAATTTATCCTCATTTTACATAGTAGGTAGATGTCAGTATCTATATACCATTTAAAGTTCATATTTCATGAAGTTAGAGATATAAGTAAGGCACCTAAATTTATGTGGTAACTCCATGAATATTAAGAGATGGTCTCTGGGAAAAATCAGGAGTATGGTTTTTATACTCTTGAGTATAGTATTATACTCTTCGTACTATTTTCATCTGACACCATATCTATTATTTTTACTTAACATAAAATTTTAAATCACTCATTGTTTTAAAATTATACATTTATGGATTCTGAAAGCCATTTCATTAAATGTATTATTTGGCCCATGTTTTATTTGGTCCCCTTACATTTTTATTCACCTCCAAACCCTTGATCTGAAGCCTTTAGCATCACAGCAACACCACAGAGAATAGTTCTGCAGAGAGCAAAGACCCACTGCCACGGGCTGCATTTTAAAATTTAAAGATCATTCAAAGTTTTTATTTAACTGCCAGGCATGATCTAATTCATTTCAAGCTCTATGCCTATATGCTTTTGGTAATTTACACAAAAAATTTTTTTAAGCAAGAATAATCTTTATTCCTTGGAAACACAGTTGTGAAAGTATATCAATAAGATTAAAAGATTCAGAACACATGTATTTGTATGTAGCACATACACTGCAGATCAGCACACCTGCTAAAATGGAAACACCTGTAAACAAAAATCTTAGAGACAGTTTATAAGTCATAAGAGATTCCACTGTGCAAGGCATGCAGATGATCCCTTCTTTCTAGATAGATTTTTGTGTTAACAAAAAAACAGATCGAGTTTCAGCAATAAAGTATCTCAAGAGATGTCAATATACATTGTTTAAAAGCTTAAAATGTGCCGAAGTACAATTAGCTATATAAAAGTGGCACAAGAATTGATTTCACAAAAATACTAATGAAAGATATCTCAGGCCTATCAAGAGAAAAATGTTTGACTTGTGGCTTGAAATGGGGGATGGGAATAGTATTTTGGCATGAGTTCTACCTAAAAGACAACATGTATCTCACTTTTAGTGCTATATCTATACAAAGATCATTAAAAAAAAAATTTTTTTTGAGCTCCTTCCTTGCCAATAAGAGACACATTAGCAAGGCATCACACATCAATTGCATTCAAGGCCAGATGACTGGTCTTAGGGACATGCTAATTACAACAACTTTGTGCCTTGTGCCACAGGCTCTCTTTTTTCTGGTCAACATCTGAAAACAAGTGCCACAGATACATTCATTTCATTCATTCATTCCTTTTATTAGTTCACTCATTCATTCATCCTATAAACATCAACACAAGCCCACAATGGGTCAAACTCAATGTTAGAACCTGCAGATAAAGAAACTCAGCTCCCTGCCTCACAGAGCAGACAGTCCAAAGGGAAGACAGATGGGCAATGACCAACATGGGTGGTCAAAACTCTCCAAAGTGAGATGTGGTCGGAGGCCATGAGAACACAGAACAGAACACAGAACCTGGAGGACACTTGTGAAATACAAAACCCACACAGACAATGGTATAAGACAATGGATTCCATCATATATTATTTAAGAATGATAGAGAAAAAGAGCGAATATCAAACGATTCAGGGGCCCTGAGTGATGAGGACTGCTAGGAAAGAACATGCCTGATTCTCCTACTGAACATCCTAGGTAAAAGGAGACAGAAAATTCTGTCTGCTGCTCCTAGAGCTGCCCTAATTGCAGAGAACATTCATTCATGCAACAAACCTTTTAAAATACCTACCATGTCTCTGAGGCTGTGCGAAGTACTAGCGCAAGCGCACTAATTATGATCCTGGCAATCAGAGAAGTCAGGGGCTAAATGGAGAGAGAGACAACATGACGGTGCCCTAAAGATTACAGTAACTCCATCAAACACTGACCTTCAGGTCAAAAAATAAAAGCATACTTTCTTAGGAACACTTGACTTTCTTTCATTGTTATTACTAACAGTGGGATTATCTTGGTCAGAATGTATAAATATAATTTTATGTTGGCAAACCAATGACCACTCTGGTGAGCTACGCAGTTGTCCGTGTTTTTGGCCATGTATTCTATATACAAATCTTCCGGTTGGTGCTGTAATACACAAGGGCCTCAACCCACACTGGTTATTTTCCACTTCCTCATTAAGCTTGCCTAGTACTATAGAAGCCAGAAGAGAAAAGTGTTCTGATGAATATTTCCCATGCTATTAAGATTCATGGTTGGCTCATTGATTTATCCATACATCACTCACAGCGGACATATACTCAGACAGGCAGGAAAAAGTATTCATTGTGGCCTTGTCAGCTCTAAGTCTCGACTAAGAGAGTTGGGCTGATGGAACGTATATATTTACAAAGGCCACTTGACTGGAACAGACCCCCTGAATAACAGATGCTTACTGGCAATATACTACAATAAATAGACTAAATCCTCCTTGGAGGAGCGATAACAATCAGCCACCTAGTAGAATAGGTCTTTAAAGGTCAAATGAGCTACAATACTAGACGACCAGGAGATAGGCTACGTCTCCTTCATAAAGGTCCTTTAATAAAGGGTCCAATGGGTTGTCTTTGATTCATGGCATCCCGATTCTATAAAAAAATAAACAACACTAGAATTTGCCTTTTTAGCTACATGGTATTCGCCTCCCAGAGTCATCCTAACAGACAAAGATTTATAATAGGGTTGGCACTGCTTTCCTCTTGCCTGGCTGCCTGACCCAATAGCAAAGCACAGTTTGAGTACCTGGTGATATCAATCATAGTCTCGCTGTGCTGCACTCAAAACCCAAATGGTTGAACTTTAACTGCAGTTGGCGGGTCGGGGGAACGGCAGGGGTGGGAAGGCATAGAAAGACATTAACTAAAACATTGGCTTGGGAACCGATAAGCATTAATTTGTTTCATCTTGCAAACCCAACCATGTCCCAGCTCCATGCACAGCAGGCATATATGAGATCAAATTTCTTGAACGTTTATCTACAAAGCACTATTTGTGAACATGTATTACAGAAAACTTAGGGAAAGGTATGCTTTTCTCCAACAAATGTTCATCCAGATGTCAAGCATGGAAAGTTCTTTATAACTTCAGTAGGAGCCCTGATTATGTAAAGAGCATATAAATGTGGCAAACAATGTCCCTGTCACCCAAGAGTTATAAATGTTACATATGTTCAGATAATATTTTCAGAACCTCGGTTATAATTTCCTATAATTCTAACAGTTCCTACTTTATTTTTTAGAAAAAATATTCCTTAAATCAGGTGCATCCAGGCAGATAATAGATACATTTTAAATTTTGTCATTGGTTCAAAGATTGATTCCGATAGAAAGATTGTTTCTAAATGCACCAAGACCTTTCCAGAAATAGAGGCAGTCTTAGGACAATTGACATTTTTTAAAATAAAATCATATTTCTACATATGAATTATAATTCCTATTTGTAGTTCCTACACAGGACAAGTGACTTTGCCCAGGTTATAATACGTCTCAGTTGTGTGCTAGGTGTAGTAAGATTTATTAAAATAAACACAGATCAATGATGGGCTTTAGAATTGCTACATTAAGTTAATTATTAACTCCTAGGATTTTTCTGAGTGCCGCCACTAAAATAAATGAGGCTATCTTTGATTTACAAAGCAATTTGGGGGTTAAAAAAAGCATAAAATCCATGATTTAACAGAAAGTATTTATTTTCCTCTTTAAGCAATTGTATTTTGCATTTTCAAGATCTTTCTGATTAAAGACCACGAAAGCTATTTATTTCCTAAGGTTGAGACTCTGAAGAGCTCTTTTCCAAGAAATGGCATATGTATTAGCTTCTGAATTACAGGGTCATGTTGTACACCATAAAAATCATCATTTTCACTCTAAATCATTAAAAATATATAAATACGTAAGTGTGCTCTTGCCAATTTCCCTACTTCTTGGTTCTTGGAATTATTAAA